AGTTTTGTGTTTTGAGTTTTGAATTTATTTTGAGTTTTGTGTTTTGACTGTCCATTTTGAGATTATTGTAATTGTGTTCTTTTTGTCATTTTAAAAAATTGTTTTCGAAAATAAAAAAAATGAAGTTTTTGTTAGGTTTTAACTGAAAACAGCAAAAACGACTTTTTTGGCCTTTTCATTTTCTTTGTAAATTTTAAACGCGTTTCTGAAAATAGGTCAGTAAGCGTGTTATCTATGTTTTCGAAAATTGAAAACAGCAAAGAGAACATACCCTAAACTATTTAGAAACAATTCAGTTTTGATTTTGATAAATTAAAAAGCTATATGAATTCAAATTGTACCGTCTACACCGTAAGGAAATTATAAAGAAGTGTGGGTTAAAAGTAGAAAAAAATGTTTTTCTATGTTTTCTTTTTGGGCAATCTGTAGGGTGTAAATAGAAAATAAATTTGTCTGACCTTACAAGTCAAATTCTAATTTCTTTACAATTTTTGGGCAATCTGTATGTAGGGTGTAAATTCTAATTTCTTTACAATTTTCCCCTTAACATTAATTGGGGAGTGTAATGATCTACTTCAACATTTGATTGGGGTCGAGTTTCCCCTACAACTATTGAGGATCATCCAACCAAACATTATTTTGTAAAGATAATATAAAAGCTTGCTCAGCAAGAGCATGGCTGCGTAGCTTGCTTCCCTTCGAATATGTGTACAGGTTAAGCTCCAGAAATTGGTCATCAACTATTACAGCTTTTTCAACAAGGGAAATGATACACTCTCCAACCAATGGATAAATAATCCCCTGGACACTTTGTAGCTGTAGCCTGTAGTCACCATTTTTCCTCTTATCATTTCTGCAAATCACCCTCGAGCAGCATCTACCTTCAACTTGAGCCCCCCTGTCTCGGTTCTCTTCAATCTCGGTTCTCTTCACTATTGGTAGAGTGTTGCATCTTGAACAAGCCGAGCCCTCTTCCCTCCACTCCAAGCCTAGCTGCCTGGTATTCAAGGATGATCTCTCATGCCTAATCACAGATTCACAGTAATAACAAATAGCTCCATCCCGCTCCTCTGTAAAATCTGTTAGATATTTTTCATCA